AAAGTATGGTCAAAACTACCAGATTAAGTAAACATTTACAGTATTTCTGGTTCTATAGGAATACTAAAAATTCATTTATTTTATATCGAAGTACTTTGGTATAGATTTTGGTAAAATTGACAATAAAATATGGTTTCATGATAAGTGTTAAAATTTGGCAAATGTGCTAGAGTTTGATAACTTTATATTGAAACCTTTAAGCATAGTATGGAAATCATTTATTCGATTAGATTTACTTTTCATTTTTGTGTTTCTTTACTATATGTGTTGAAATTAGAACTATAATTTTGAAAACCCGGAATTAGAATTCCCGGTTAATCGTTTTGCAATATGTAAGGAAAAATAACCAAATGAATGGTTTAAATACCGTAAATTTTGTTTTTTAACCAACTTTTTTTTATACAAGAAATGTCACTAATATACAGCGTGGTAATTTTACCACAATTTGCTTTCTCTGTGTAGATTATAAAAGGGATATTATGAAAATAATATTATAAAATAGGTTATAAAAATAATCATGCCGTGATTTTATGTTAACTATTACTGTAAAAATTACGGTATATGAGATTGTTTTTAGTTTCGAAACCTGCTCTAGTAAAACCGGCTCCTGTAAAAAGAACCTACAACTTGAGAGTCGGTATTTTTCACTTTAATTTAATTCTGGTTTTCTTTACAATGTACTTCAGACCATACAAAGTTTGTCGGAAATACAATGTGAATGACAAAATCAATTTAAATAATGTACAAAATTTGCGAGAACAATTAACTATAGCTAACTAAACCATTCAAAACTTATCGGAAATACCAAAAAGATGAATAAAATGAACTTGCGTTTAGTAATAACTACTCTTTGAATAAACTGAGATTTTCACCAATTTATTTACGATAACCTTCTGATTTCAGCAATCCTAGCAATATTCCATTATCAAAACCAATTACTAAGAGATTGTGCAAATGGCTATAATATATTTAACATTGATAATGGATTATGCAAATGCTTCAGCTTTTGCATGTTATAGTATATGCAAATAAACAACAAATCATAAATTGTAAACATATAATTAGATATGATGATATATTGAGCGAAATATTTGTATCGTTTGACATTTTCGTTGTTCGACAATTTATGTCCATGTAAACAATGAAGTTTATATAATGTAGACAGATAATTAAATCGGACATTTTGAGTAACTGAATAAATATAATCAATGTTTACAATAAGTGATTCAATTAATGATAGTTGATTGCTTTTCAAATAATAATTACGTGTGTATTTTTGAACTACAACATTTAATTCTAACAGGGGCTTTAGATAAAAATATTAAAGTGCTTGCTTATGGTAAAATAAATCAAACAATTAAATATGTTTGTCACTTGATTGATCATTTTACAAGTTGAAAAACACGTTTTATCCTTGTAATTTAAAATGCTTTCAAAACAGTATTTAAAGTTATGAAACAAAACCTTTATCATGTTTCATAAATCTGAAGAATGTTAATGTGGAATAAAAGTTAAAAATAAATAATTTTCTATTTAATTTAAACATATATTGAAGTAGGTTTTATGTTTTAAATAATTTTATAATTATAAAGTTGATAAGTTTAGGTGCGTTGCCAAAAAAGAAAAGTATTAACGAAATATGAGTGAAACTTTCAGAAATCTTAAGAAAGCTTCAAATATATAAAACCCATAAAATAAGTCAAAAATACAAAGAAAACACGTAAAAAAATATAAATTTTTTTAAAGAGAAGAATATATATATATATATAACGGAAAAAAAGTCTTCTGAAATCTGAATTAAAATTACTTTTAAGAATTACATTTTTAAAATTCTAATTTACTTATGATCACTATGAATAAAAATGAATTTCTTAAACTTCGATTTATAACATTTATAAATAGATTGATAATTGATTTCATCCAGTAATAAAATAAATTATTAAAAATTTCCTAAGCTTTTCTCTAGTTTTATTTTTGGAAAAATAATATTTCCCATGAGATTGTTAGACTTACGAGGGATGCATATATACATGGCTACAGTTACATCTAAGCTCTCTCTGAGTTCTTTTTTTTTCTCTTGCGAAGAGAACTCTTTTATTTTCAGCGAAAAGTTCTTCATAAACTTTTTGAACTTTCTTAACAGTTTTGCTTAGCTACTCGTGCATGCAATTAAGTATGCTAAAAGCCCTTCATTTATGTATAATTAAATATTCATTAAAAGTACAAGTAATTCAATATATAAAAATGAATATTATATTAGAATAAACTTTTGCGGTGAGGAAGCATTTTTGAGGCACTTAACTTTTTCTTGATAAAATGGAGCAATGGAGCAATTTAATATTTTAAATATTCGAAAATAAATCATCAGAAATTGTGAAAGTGATAATTTATTTACTAGAAATGTGCACGTATGAGTCTATTTCGTTTAACAAGTAGTATTCTAAAAACGATTGATTTGAATGGATAAATAGGTATTTTGAAATGTTTGAGGAAATAAATAAAATTATTCAATTGCAAAACATTTCGTTTTCTTCAAATTTAAACTTTCTTTGAACGTAAATTTAAATTAAATTGTTTTGTTAGATATATATGATACGAAATAATATATTAGTATGTTTATCGACAAAAGTGTTGCCCTAAGAAAGAAAATTCTAGTAACATTACCATAATGCATGGTAAGGGTATTTCCGGTAAAAAAAATATTCGGGCAACGAAAACCATTTATCAAAATCATCAATCATTAAAGCCATTCATTTGGAAAATTTCAGTTCATATAGCAATGATTTACAGGAGATTCTGGGTTTCAAAATTACAATCAATTCTTCCCACACATTTATGGAACTGAAAAGTAAATTTAACGGAACAAATGCTAAGCTCAAAGGTATCATAATTAAAAAAAATTCCACATTATCTAAATTTTTCTCTCAGATTATAAAACCATATTTTATCGTAACCAAACTCAACACCAAAATCCTTCGTAAAATTAAAGCAAACTTTTTGGTGTTCCCACAGAGATGGAAACATAGTAGATTTTACCATATTATGATAGTTTTGACCTTACTCTTTTTTCTCAGTGTAGATATTCTTCATTTAAATACAAATTTTATATCTCTTTGTTCAAATTTTTCTTGCATACTCTGTTTAAAAATGTCGCGTGAAATAGTAAACAAACAAAACTTAATTTGCATGTCTACATTAAAATAGTCAAAGAGAATTAAGCTAATGTTTTCGTTATTTTAAATATTGTCCACCATCGGTAAAATAAGAAATCAAAAGTTATTGTAGCCGATGTTTTATAAACAAGTGAAGGAGATGTTCTAATGGACTTTTCTAAATCTTTTCTAGTATGGAAATAAACACAATCTTTATAAACAGCTATAAAATTCTGCTTAATGAAACAAAAATAAACGGTATTTGGATAATTCTACCGTTTATATGGTAACGTTTACTGGAAAAACTGGTTTCCAAAATTATAGTTCTTATTAAAGGATACTTAATTTAAAATACAAAACAGAAAAGTTAATTCAGCCGAATAAATTGTATGATGCCGTGCAAATATTTCCACACTTAACAAGTTTCATGTAAAATTATCAAATTTTTCCACACTGACCAAACCTTATCGCATATTTTAAAACCAATTTTCTTTCGCTAATTTTACCAAAATCATTTCCAAAGCTCTTCGGTAAAAATTACGGAGCTGCTTGGTTTTTCCATAGAACCAAAAACACGATAAATTTTACCAAATTCTTTCTTTTAACACACTTTTTTTAACAATGTAGAGCATACAGCATACTTATTGGGATGCTTTACTTTGAATTTTAATTTTACTTCAAACGCAATACCTTCGAATTTGTTGAAGTGTCGTAAATATAACACTAAAAGAAAGTTTATTACATGTGTAAAATGTTGATACACTTTTTCTGGCTGTATGATAATTAGAAAATAACAAGCATATCCCGAACACTTTAATTTGAATCGTGATGAAGGCACATGTCGTGAAAACAATTTTTTTTTATTAAAGACTTACGAGCTGAATTTTAATATTGAGAGCAAAATTTACTTCTCTTTTTAGATATACAGTACGTAATTTATAAATAACAACATCCATGTAGTAATTAGAAAATAAATATGAATTAATATGATATGAAGTAAATATAAATTATGGTTGCAAAAAAATGAACTTTTTATATTTTTCAACTTAAAATGTTTATTAAACTCTTAATAGCATTTATTGATGATTTACAAGTAAACGTTTTATAACAAATGAGTTTTTCATATCGTGTTTTGAGTTGATGATTTCAGTTGTTAATTTAAATCCATTTTCTAACTATTTTTATTTACGATAATTAAAACTTTGTCGTTTCTAAAATTTTCAGTTGAAACAAAATCACTGCTTTATTCGTGAATGTTAATGAATAAAAGTATTTGTTGCTTTTTGTTTACTCTTCCATAGATTAGTTCTTGGAATAATGAATCATTTCAATTTGACAGTTCTAATTTTCAGACGGTTTTAATATTTTCAGAACGAGACATTAGATTATTTTTTTCTTAGTTCAAAAGTCAGTTGCTATATAGCCTAGTTATCTAAAATAAATGAAATTTCGTCCTTTTGGAAGTTTAAGGAAAGATGGTATTAAGATTACACATAATTCAGTTCATTTTCATCAATTTTAGTTATGGTTGATTAATATACAGACTTTGCAACTTATTGTGCATGCAATCGTTTAATTCACAATATATATATATATATATATATAGCATNATATATAATGTTTTTAATAGAATATAAAATTTCAGGATGTTTACTTTATATTTGTTTTGATGTTTACATTATTCAGCCAATAATATATTTTTACATTACTTGATATTATTCAAATACTTATTAAATATGAGTTAGATGGAACAAGATTTAATTATAAATAGGAGCAATAAAAAATCAATAAATATATGAAACCACCTGTTACGCAGCAAAACATTAAGATATAAAAAAGAGAACTTACTACGTCAATAAGCTGTGAAAGCCGGAGACCCATTTTAACTGTTAACCTGTCTGAGTTATTGCCAACAGGTCGTATGAGGGAATTATAACCATTAATGAGATCATCATAGAGTCTCTTAGTATCATCATTTGCGTGGATCGGGCATAAGAGCAATAAAACTGTAAACGAAAACAAACGCCTGGAGAAAATCGATCGAACCATTTGTTTCGGGTGCGAATTTCATTCGATGCTGCAATGAATTTAAGACGATAAATATTACGTCCAATAATGTCACTCTATGCAAATTCTCGGTTCGAAAAAGTAAACATTGTTCGGCAATTTCTTTTCTTCCGGGTAAAACTATCGTCTGCAGCTTTGGAATATAGCATATCGAACTCAGAAAAGAATCGTAATCGAATTCCTCTTTTAGAACTTAAAAAACTTATTGCTTTTCCTGCATTCGGCAGTAAATTTTAAGAAATTTTTAAGAATTCAACGTAAACACGTGCATAAAACTGTTTTCACTACGCAGCTTTTCACCATGGGAAGAAGGGATAGATTTCCCAGTAAAGCGCGCCAGAGTGTCCTTCCAAAGGACGCGCCCTCTAACGGAGAAAAGACAGCATTTTCTTTTGGTTCTTAGTTTCCATCATTATTATAACTTCGAACAAGATTCCCATTCATAAGTAATTAATTCGTTATTACGGTCGTTATTTTGATTGCCTATGATTGAGGTAATTCGAAATGTTCGCGTGCTCTGAGAAGTGAAACACATATTCTTTTTGTAAATTAGTCATTACGTTGAACCCTTTATACTTTTCTTTTCACATTTTATGCTGGAAAAAGTGCATTTTTTGTCATACATATTTACAAAACACGTTTTTTTGCTTTATTTCTTATTTTAGGCATAAATGATTATTTGAGGTAATAAAGAATGCTATATACAGCAAAATAATAAACACATTCTTCTGTCAAGTGTTCTGATGTCATAAATTGTTTAAATGGGGATTTTTTAGATGATAACAGGAACTTTAATGACAAGAAAATATATATATATATATTGCCCTAAATTTCTTTTGTTTTATCAATGGAGAGAACAAAAAATTTACACTTGTATATAACTTTGAAGACTAGTGAATATTCAGCACCAAATATGTGTGGAAAGATTTCCTAGTGGTTATATATTGTTTAAACCAATTGATTCTCAAATTGATAATTTAAAATAAGACAATTTAGTTTTTTGTAGCAAAAGAAAAAAAATTCTTTTAAGGAATTTCTTAATGGCATTAAATTCTATAAATCAGTTTTTTTTAGTGGAGTCGGTAAAGCATGTATCAATAATACTAAAACTGACCCTACCTTTCAGAAACTAATTATGATATCACTTTGAAATTGCTTAATTAGAGATATTTGAGTTTTTATCAGTTGTGTGCTGTTTTAAAGTTTTGTCGTTAGCAGGAATGCTTTCTGAGTTATGTATGATTTTTTATTAAACATTTAAAAAAAATTAAGGTTCTCATTTCAAAAATTTAGATTCAAAATTCACATTCATTTCAAAATTCTCATTTTAAAAAAAAAAGAGTATTTATTGTAGAGGATATGAGAAATTAAATGCATAATTAATTTTTTTTGTACTGTTACTTAAAATTATTCTAAGATAAAGCATATGTTATTTTCAAAAGAACATAACCTTAAATTATTTCTTAAATGCACAGAATATTTAAATTTTAATATTCTAAAACTTCATTATCAAATTTCTCATACCTAAAATTCATATTGAATTTTTTATAAAATATTTTGTTTGAACTAAATAATTAAACGTTAATAACATGACAAAAAAAAGTAATAAATTTCAAATTTCAGTGCCTTTTGTATTCGATTGGCTAGATGCCTGGTACTACGCCTTCTTCCATTTCATTTTAAATTATGTAAAGTAATTTGGAGAATAAGATAAAGAGATGTGTGCCAAATTGTAAGATGATTAAGGCCAACTTATAACATCACAAACATCTTAACCCAGTTTAATATCACAAGCAATTGACCTTCGACACAAATTGTGCAGTGCTTATAATGGTATAATTTAACTGGCATCCTTCCTTTAAAGCCTCAAAGCTTACCGAATCTGTATATGGATCTTATTTGGCTTACTTGTAAGTAACTGAGTAACTAGCTGAATAACTGAGAAGTCAACTGATCACGATTGATTCACGCAAGTCTCTGTAACATTTCAGTGACTTCCATAGCCTTAAATCATAATTAGGTAAACTTTATTTGCTTACAGGTTATTTATTTATATAAATAAATCTAAGCATACTATGGACGCACATTGAATTTTCAATTAAAATCTGAATTTGGAGGCACAGCAACAATGTATAAGCAAATTCCACTGGTAATCTTTAAGTTTGACAATAATTGGAACGAAATATTTTTCTCTAAATTTTGTAATATCATCTTCCTTTAGGTTAATATTGGCGGGTTTGCTTAATATAACATAATCTTGCATTAACTGTTACTGAAACGCAGATTTTTGATTGGACAAACTAAATCTCAAGTGGTTAAGTGGTTAAAACTTAATTAGAAATATTCTCATGCGCAAAAATAGCGTGGGATGTTGTTTTGTATGAAAAAATATAGTTAAACGAACTTTCGCGCAGGTAAAATACGGCTGAATAAAATCTCAGTGTAACAAAATATCATGAGACGTAATCTCATATGGAAAAAAAATATGGTGCGATATGATCTGAATTAACCATTATCGTAGGACATATTTTTGAGAAGGCAGAAATTCTCTCGTGGCCAGAACTTAAGTAGGAATGTCCTAATCAATGAAATTAAAGTGAGTACGTATTCTTCCTAATTCAACAAAATTAAATGGGATATAATTTTTAATTCACTCAATATCGTAAAACAGATTTTTACATATATAACATATTTTTGTCGTGAACCATCTAAATCCATGAGTGATGTATAGTGTTTCACTACATCATTTTGGTGTAAAATAATTATCACCATTTTTGGTGTTGCGATGCACTAACAGCTACAGCAACTAACTAATACTTTGTTACAATGCAACACTATAATGCAGACGAATCTGCTATTGATAAATTTAAAAAATAAAAGTCACACAAAAGGTTTTTTTTAAAATCTGGAATAGTTTTGTTTTTAAAGAAAAATTTTAATGAAAAGGCTTATAATCATGGTATTTAGTGACCTTACCAAACCAGAAATAAAGCTTGAACTCTAAATTTATCTTTCTATGTGAACCAAACGGTTTAATCTTATTCTTTTGACTACCATGAAATGATGCCAACTTTGATGAGGAAAGAGAAATTGGAGCATCGGTTGACTGCATTCCATTTAAAAAATGTATTTTGTGAACATAAATCTTCCCGATTCAGTACAAAAAAAATATAAAAAAGCTAGCTTCGAAAAAGTGGCCAAAGAACATGTTTCAATGATATTTTTTCCAAGGAGTAAGAGAAACTCTTTTAATTTGTAGGAGAAGTAATTAATATAAATAAAACTTTTTTTAAAGTTTTTTACCTTTATATCTTTCAACATTTAAGAAATTAAATTATTGAAAAGTTAAATTATTGTATTGATTATTTATTCGTATATTTTTCATAAATTTTTATTGAACATATTTATATTTATTGGATTTTAACCTTAAAATCAAACATTAAACTTAAATTTTTGTTTTAAAGTTATTAACTCACTACATTGAAATTTTAGAAATCTTATTTAGAACTAGTTTGCAAATTTTAAAGCATGAAAAACATTAGATCCGTGATTAGAATATTGCAAGTGAATGAAATATTCCTCTTTATCCAATAATATTATACTATTAAATAATGCTACTGTGATGAAATGGCATTGTAAGTTAAGGTATTGAAACTTCATGGTGAAGAACTAAGGTCTGATGAGCTACCCCAAGCTACGTCAAGCTACCCCAGTGGTAGCTTGAAGTCCTCCCAGCATTAGATCGATGAATACCAGCTTGTCTGGGAAGTAAAGGCGGCTTATGCGGAGTGCTAACCACTACTATTTTATGTCGTTGCTCACGAAATTGAAAAGACATAAACTCTATGCCCCCCTGACTCACAATTGGCTTTTGCGGGTTTACTTTAATAAAGTTCTCACAAATTCTCAGGTTTGTAATGGTAGAATATTGCAAACAAAATATGGAAAACACATTTTTGTTTAAATAGACTTATCAGATTTCTACAAGAACTATCCCATTACAATGCAAGCTTTAATAATTTCCCAACAGAATTAATCACAATACTATCGTCAAAGCTATATCCTTTTAATTGAAATCCTAACTATTTTCAGATTACTTAAAGTGTTTTATGCTTTAATTTTAAATATAGCTCTGTACTGATGACATGCTGAAGCAAGTTTCAATTTTTCCTAACTTCAAGCAAATTTTCTCGTGGTCGTCGAAAAGAACTGTTCACTTTAAAACTAACAAGAGTAATTAAAGTTTTATTTTACTTCTGGGGGTATGACAACACAAAATTCAATCAGAATTTATGGCTATACTATGCTATATATCGCTACTAGAAATTTCAAAATTTTTTTAACTATTATTTAAATTTTTAAAACATGCATTTATGCAAAATGTTCTGTATTTTGCACCTTAATTCGTATGAAAATATTATTAATCATGCATATTTAAAATAATATAAAAAATAAATAAAATGCTATAAAAATAAATGACTAAAATAATAAAATAAAAGATTCTTGATAGAATTTCATTCATGGTAGAGTTTTTGTTTAACGGAAGAACTGAAAATTGTCTGCGCAGAAAACTCTAAGAAAAATTTTTTCTTTTAATTAAAAAAAAAGTCATCCAACTGAAATATTTCTAAACAATCTATGCAAATAAATATTTAGGGTTTAATATTAACATATTTTCAAGGTCCAAAAAGTTTATCTTTATTTTGAAGTTAAGTCTTAAATTTCATTTTGGGAACCATATTGTTTTTTATTTTACGTAGTGCCTCGTAAAATATAGCATATTAGATAAAATACTAATTTCTCCGTATAACTAAAATCTTGGAAGTTAGTAAAAAATATTATTTCTAAAATGTTCGTCTTCGTATTTATATTTCACTGAGAAAACTTCAATCGTGGGGTAATACTTACCGTATTTCTGGGTTGAAAACACCAAAGAGTACAATATAGTTTACCGAAGCACTTTATTAATGATTTTAGTAAAATTAACTATAAAATATAGTTTAATAATATGTGATGAAATTTGGTAATATTATCGTGAAATCATGGAGAAGGGCATCAAAACTATTTATTTGGTTAAATTTACATTTCAGTTCTGTATTTTTCACTAAATGTTGGGAAATAAGAAGTATAATTTTAAAACCAGACTTTCTGGATTACCGTTACCATATGAACAGAAAAATTACCAAATGAATAGCTTAAATACCGTAAATTTTGGTTTTCATTAACGGAATAATGTTGTTGTTTTCTTAAATGAAATTTCATTGCCATAAAGTACGAAAATATTACCAGAATTT